GGGGGGGGGGGGGGGGGGGGGGGGGGGGGGGGGGGGGGGGGGGAAGGTAGGTGGGATGGTGATAGTTGGATGCAGGTAGGGGATAGTGGGGATTGGTCAGTGGGAGGAGTGGGATGGATAGGTGGGGAGGAAGATGGACAGGTTGTGTCAGATCAAGGAGGTCAGAGGAAGGATGGCTGGGGCTGGGAGAAGGTAGTCGGGATGGTGATAGGGCTCCCTTCCCCCAGCCCCAGCCACCCTTCCCCCTTTTGTGGAAGATGCTTAAAATCAAATAATTTTGATTATTCTTGGGCCCTTATTACTATATAGTCCTATAAACCACATAAAAAAATCAAAAAGTACCTTTTTTGCTCTGCACCGAATTCCCGATGTATTCCAAATTCCAAGAAACTTACACTTGTTCTGGCTGTCTCTCACTCAGAATATGCTTTCTTCCAACTGCTTGTGCAAAGCTTACTGAAGTTCATACTTCTCTCCAGTCAAAAAAAATCCATTAAATATTAGTTACTCTATCACTTAGGCAATAAAATATAGCCAAGTCATTACCATCCCTTTAAGACTATCTACTTCTAATTCCAAATGCATCTGTTGTTATGAAGTACTTAATCAAAATCCATTTGAAAAGCTACATATACACACATTTCCTGAATTACCTCCAACACCCCTCTCTGTTACTTCATGATAGCCATGGTGGCAGATACATTCAAGACTGGTGACAACTTTGGAAACAAAGAATCAATCTCAGCCTTCCATTATTAGAAGGCATCGAGCAAATGCTTGATGCTTCTATTTATGGTAAAACGAACAGAGGGAAATGTACCCAAGGCTGCTTCGATGCAGATTTTTGCACGGATTATGTTTGGTTTTCAGCCGTGAAAGAATGGGAAGCATATGTAGTAGACTTAACAAACAAACAAAAAAAGATACAGGGTTCTTTGTTTATAAGCTGCACTGAAGTAAAAATGCACTCCTCAAGCTTATTAGTTTCACTGCTTGTGATACCATCATTCAGTTTTGCACTAATAATATTTTGTCTGAGAACACAAAAATGAGTGCCTATCACTTATGACGTTGATCCTGTCAGGTCATGGTTGACTCACAAAATTGACTGCCAGGTGATCACACATTTTTTCAGGTGGTGCTAAAAATGCTCATTCAGTTGCACTGGACTCCTGGGTGCTCTGTAATTTTCAAACCTCCATGAACGATTTGGATATCACTGCCTTCAATATTAACCTTCCTCTTCAAACAGCTTTTGCTAGAACCAGGGATTTCTGGATAAAATTATAATCTTTAAAGCTTGCTCTGAGTAACTACTTCACTGAAGTAAAAATGTACACTTCAGGTGTTGACACTATCTCCAGTGAACAATACATTTTCGGTCGAGGAGAATGAAGTGAGTCATCAACTTGAATTATAAGCTGCAGATCACTTTTTTTCCCCTAAGAGAAGCTCAGCACCCTTACTGGCTCTAAGTATAGGTTTATCTGTTTTTCCAAAACCTGTTGATTTCAGGTATGGAGTATCACAAATGCTGTCAAGTTTAGTGATGCTGAAATTTCTGCATCTTTAAAATTCCTATAGTTACAATGCAATTTGGAGGGCACAGAAGATGAACACAATAATAAAAACTGAAAGAGCTGCAGATGCTGTAAATCTGGAACAAAAACAGAAGTTGCTGGAAAAGTTCAGCAGGTCTGGCAGCATCTATGAAGAAAAATCAGAGTTAACGTTTCAGGTGCAGTGCCCCTGCCTCAGAGCTTTTCTAGTTTCCGATTACAAATTTGTGGATTTCCACTTTCACAAAAGACTGAAGGTCGCAACATTCCTCCTACCTGATGATTGTGGTGAGGAAGGGTCACCAGGCCTGAAACGTTAACTGATTTTTTTCTTCACAGATGCTGCCAGACCTGCTGAGCTTTTCCAGCAACTTCTGTTTTTGTTTAACACTATAAATAACTTTTATATTGGCCAGATGACAAAGTGCCATTAAATGTGCAGAGGTAGCGCTTCAAGCAAAAGAACTTTGAGATTATGCGTCACCATACAATCAAGCTGTCAGGTTTTGTTTTGCACTGGTACATTAATGTCGACTACTTGGCCAAATTACTGGGAATGGAGATCGTTGCATCAGACTGAACTGGCAAAATGATGATTGAGTAACTTATTGTTCTATGTCCAGAAAGGAACAAGAGACAGAAAATGAGCAATAAAAATGCAATGATCATTTGTCAGAAAGACTGAAAGGAACAATGCAGTGACCAGGCATGAAAGGAGAGACAAACAAGGCCATTCTTTGCTATTCTCTCAAATTGTGGACCTTCATTCTTTCCTTAGCCAGTCCTCTCCTACAATGTTGGGACTTATAAATATCCACACTAAGTCATGCAATTACCTGATTTACTAGAAATTCTTGTGTTAAAAAGACGTTTTACAACCTTTCATATCTTAGTCTGGCTCAATGGTGGCACTCCTCCCTAAATCAGAAGGTTGTAGGTTTAAGCCTCCCTACAGAACTGGAGCACATAATCAAGGCAGACAGCATCCTGATACAGAGGCATTTGCTGTTTTGTTGAAGGTGCTGTTTTCCAGATTAAACATGAATTTATCCTTACATGTTAAAAACGAAGCTCAAACCATATGTCACCGAGGGAAAATAACAAAAAAAACTTAGTCATCGGCTTGAACTTTAAGTAGTCATGGTTACCTCCGCCAAAGTGCAAGAGATGTAAACCAAAGAGAAAATGTCTTTATAACTTAGAATTAAGGAAAGGGATAGGAATGGAGCTCACTGAAATTTGCAGGGTAGAAAATAGTTATTACAAACTGAATTTAAGCAACAAATGGCAGAGAATTAGATTGGTGAGTGAAACATTGATTCATCACCCTCCAAAAATAAGTCCATGAAATCATCTACATTTCAAAATCAGTAATGAAAGTGCTCTTCAATAATCCTACAGACGCAAACCATCATTTCTAACACTTACCGTGAAGACAAGCTGGGTTTGCCACTCTTGCTGCAACTGGTATAAATTCCTGGGCCATCATCAAAGAAACTGCCCAGGGCCAACTTCTGTCGGATTGATTCTCTCTCATTTTTTTGGGCCTGCAAATTAAACAGGAAAATAAGTCAGGAACAGGGAATGTAATGACAAGGGCAATACAATGATTTTTGTTTAAGTTACTATCATCATTCTATTTTTTATTATGTAAGCTAGATACAAAACCTGTTAACTACTGTCCGCAACATCTAAAATACTCGACGCACATAGCAGATTAGTAACCCCCTGGTTTATAATTTTCCCTGCTATTTTCCATTGCTTGCACCTAAGACCTGCTACTTTACCAAGAGTGTTCATAATACCGAGTAGATGTTATCATCGAGTCCACATTTCTGTTACCATATTGTGGATTTGCAACTATAAAGCAATGCTTTTGAATTAACTTATTATTAGTTGATATTAATATATTTATTTTCTCCATTGTCACAGATCAAGTTCCTTGTGTATCCCCAACATAACAGTGTGGAGCTGGAGGGGCACAGCAGGCCAGGCACCATCAGAGGAGCAGGTAAGTTGATATTTCGGGTTGGGACCTTTCTGAAGACCCAAAATGTCAAACTTTCCTGCTCCTCTGGTGCTGCCTGGCCTGCTGCGCTCCTCCAGCT